ACTGAACTCCCCGAGCTCCACCTCTAACACCACAACCCCTCGATACTACAAAGGTTGATCTATCAGAAACATTAGAGTTCTCAGTAGATCCAATGGAAATCCTCCGAAGTCGAGCAAACACCTCTTCTAAGGAAGGAAAAGCTGACCCTCCTAGTATCTGAGCCCGCACTGGTTCATACTTAGATTTCAGCCCCACCAAAAATCGAGTCACATCAAGCTGTTCTCTTTGCTGTTGCTGAATTTTGACATCAGAGGTGAGGGGGTGATAAACATTCAACTCATTACGAATGTTTCTCATACTAGCATAGTACTCCTCAAGACTCTGATTGCCTTGTTGCAGATTAAAGTATTCCTGATACAACTGATATACTCTGGTTGTATTGTATTGACCAGAATACAACTTCTTAGCATGGTCCCACACATCTTTGGCAGTGTCAAGAAACATGAAATTTACACTAATCTTGGATTCCATAACCACGTGATAATCTATGCATCCTCTTGTTCTCAGTCATCATACTCATGAGAATTAGTGGAGGGTTTTTCCTCCCTTATGTGTTTCACCTTCTTCTTTGCCTTCAGAAAAACTTCTACAGATTTAGCCCAAGGTACATAATTCTCTCCATTCAGTTTAATGGAGGTCATTTGAACATTCAGGTAGTCAGTAGGTATCATCACATTAGATTTTCTATCACTGCTATCTCCCATTGCTGAATTCTGTTATTACTAAGTTCGGCACACTGCACACTAGACCACACCACACACCGATGACACTGGTTTCAGCACTTGTTATTGCTGAAGATTACACTCTTTACACCACAAACCCTACCCCACGACTACCTGAAATCTCACCACACTATATGAGGACCATTCCCCCTTCGAATCACACTAAAAACAAGATAAACCCTAACGCAATACAGTTTGAAGTCCCACCATATGATCTGAAACATACTTCTTATTTGATTCATAATAAAAATATGCATAGAAATCTCTTACCTCATCACCCAAAAATCAAACCACACAAAAAAATCAGACCACACAAGACACCCGCTGCACCACACGAATCAGCCCTCTTCTCTTCATCGATTAGGGGAGGGCTTCTTGGAAACCACAGCAACCGACCACGAACAGCACAACTGGAGGCATAGAGACCTCCAAGGGAAGAGGGTGACAACTCCTTTTCAGCCCTTTCCCTTATCTCCAATTGATGGCAGAGAAATCAAGAGAAAACCCTTGATTGAGTGCACAGAAAACAGAAATCTGGGCAGATCCGAGTTGCTTAGTTGTGCTCTAATACCATATTATGATTTGGCCTGCTCTTGAGTTCTGTTAGTCTGATAACAACCAAGAAGAGAGAAGAAGAAAGAAGAAGGAAAGAGAGAGAGAAAGGAGGAGAAAAGGAGAGAAGAAAAGTCTGGTTCGAATGAGAGAAAATTACCTCTCCCATTCAGTCAGATATGTTTTATATTACTAACATAATGGAAAAGACACATGTGCCCTAACTTAAGTGGGGGACACTAGTTCTAATATAATATTACAGATCAGCAACCTCAACATAATTATAAAGACAGAAATACCCCTACATACTTGACAATAACAAAATGAAAAAGTTTAAGTGGCTTACTAGGAATATGAATCTCAGGATACAGTGGGTGAGGAGATATGCAAAGGGGATGGCTTATGCTTAGGCTAAGCGAGGGGTGAATAGGGATGCATTGTTTTGGGCTCCATTGTAATTTTCTTTGCTTTTTGCTTTTTATAGAGAGGTAGCATCTTGTGCCTCTCTAAGGGATGCTTGCAAAATTTTATCTTAAAGTCTAACAAAAGCTCATCTTATTTATCAAAAAAAAAAAGATATACAATTGAGCCCAATACAAGTGAATTCTTTGTACCCCTTGCTTAGCTAGACCATCTGCTAGGCTGTTGGCAGTTCTCCTCACCCATTTAACTCGGATTGTCATGTCCTTTGAGAGCCATTTAAATCACCTGAATTCATTCCTCAGATGCCATGTCACCCCCTCCCCCTTTATCCAATTCACAACAGTTCTCGAGTCACCCTCGATGATCAGCTATCAATACCCAAATCAGCCTTCTCAACCCCATATACTGCAGCCAGTAGCTCTGGTCTTGCCACATCATCTTGTTCAGCAGGTCCTGAGTATAAAGCTATGATGTTTCCTTCCTCATTCTTAATGACCCCCTATGCCTGATGGGCCTGGATTGCCCACACAACTCCCATCAAAGTTCAATTTCTTCCAACCACATATTGGGGGTGACCACTTCTCAACAGATTTCTATCTTCTAGATGATGAGGCAGTAATAACACCCCAGGCCCTAAAACAGTCAAACCTTAAATGCTGAAAAAAAGTTTTGACTTTTTTGCCCAGTGTCCCACTCTTCAGGTTATGATTTCTACCAAGGCTTCTTTGTTCTTCTCTTTCTTCAAAAATTCTTGAGTTCCTTTCCCCCCAAACTGTCCAAAGTACTGCTACTTTAGTACATCTCCCCAAAATCCTACGTCAGGAATTCATCAAAAAAAAAAAAATCTGAGCCAGGTTTTTCTAATTTCATAAATCAGGATTTAAATCACCATGGTATTTTCATCAAGGCTACTTGTTAGCTTTCTGTGGCTGACGTGTTTTGCTTTTGTCGATGTGTATTATACATTTATGCACACCCTTCTCCAGGTGGACGGGTGTGTGTGATGTTACAAATGAAATATGATATCTGGAATTTCTAGCACTTTGCTAGGGTTTGACTTATCTTCTTTTCTATATGTAACAGTACCAGTGTGATCTTTCCTGCGTAGGTAAAGTGTATACATCCAAAGAATCGATGACTTTGCAATCTCCTTGAGATGCTTAAGGGCTGGTATATGTTGGTCCTTGTGGGAAGAACGAAACTCAAGAATCTTCTCAGAAAGGGAGAGGAGCATTGAAAATGTAATAGAACTGATCCACTTAAGGGCGGCACAATGGTTAAAATCCTCAGATTTATTCACTGATTTCACTCTGGATGACTTGCTGAGAAAGTGGGAAGAGATTGCTAGCTCTGCCCAGGTTAGAACTGGGCAAAGTCCTTCTTGGATCCCTCCCCCTACTGGTTATATAAATCTGAACTTTGATGGCAGTAGTAGAGGGAACCCAGGGAAATTTGGCATTGGGGGAGTATTCAGGGATGAGTGGGATTGTATTAGCCATGGTCTCAGGCCCAATTGGTGCAGGTGATTCCCTCGGGGCTGAGATTCTTGCAGCATTGGAAGGAGTCCGAAGGGCAAAAGATTTGAGTATAAGGAGGCTTGTAGTTGAAGATGATTTGGAGGTGGTGGTAGTAGGGTGGCTGAAAGAAGATAAGACTGGGTTGTGGTGCTACATCATTGAAAAGAAAATTTTCAAGTGGCTGGCTAAGGATATGGAAGTAAAAGTACAGTTGGGTGAAGAGATCTGCTAACTCATTTGCTGATGGGTTAGTCCAGAAAGGGGTGATTCGTGAATCTCTGTTTTGGGCTCTTTTGTAATTCTGTTTTTTTTTTTCTTTTTTGGGGGGCTCTAGCCTCTGCTTGGGGATTTAAGATAGTTTACCTCCCCCTCCTTGTAATTATTCTTTATATCTGTTTAATTAAAGTCTTTGTTATTGATAAAAATGGACCCTTTTGATCTTTGTCCCTCACGACTTGGTGTTGTAATCCTTGATCTGAAAGGATGTTAAGAAAGCAATATGTAAGAAGATTTTCGTCTTTTTTATTTTGATAGGAAACAGCAACTTTTATTAAGCTTGAGAATTATAGAATTACAACTGTCACCTTCCAAAATAAGGTGACCCCTCGTAACATAATCAATTTACAAGCATGCCCAAAATAAAGTCTCCCTGTTAACCCCTTGCATTGCTAAAACATCAGCCAACCCGTTGCTGACCTCCTAACCCAATTAAAACGTGCTCCAAGGATGACATCCGATAAAATTGGAATGATACAGAAGGTTTTCTTCTCAAATATCAAGGATGACACGCACAAATCGAGAAATGGTCCAAAAGAAGATTTTCTTCTCAAATAGGACTTCTTTAATTGTATCATTGATGTTATAGTTTCTTATGAAAATTTCCACTACGAGTAATTCAAATATTTGATCTTATACTGAAATAACTGTTTGACAATACATTTTTTCCATTTGCTTTCATGCCTAGGGTCAACTTAGTTTAAAACCCACATTTAACAATTGTTAAATTCTCTTCACTGTTAAACACCAACTATCAACATGTCAGATTGACATTGTACTTGCAACTCTATCACGTTTTTTTCATTCTCCCTCTCTCTCTTTCTGGTACAGTGCATAAGCCAAATAATATTTAATACAGGAACAAGAAGATAAAAAAAAAAAAAGAGAAATGAAGGTCAGTAAAGGAATGGTATCTGTAGAGTGGGGTTACAAAGTAGCTCCAAATGTTAGGTTATTACACAAACCTTTAAAAAGCATGACTATCTCTAATTAATAATAAGAAGTAATTATACTGCAATAACCTTAAATCAGTAATAAACTACCAATCTAGATCTTTAACCCCATGTTAGCTGTGTGGTCCCAAGCTATTTCTATGACTAGAGTGACTTTTAAATAACTAGAGCTGACAAAGACAAAAGGCAGAAGACTTCAAACACCCATACATATAACTTCTTTAGGGGCTTTTAATGTGCAAAGCAGGTCTATAAGGGACTTCTAACATGCACCTTCTACTTCTGTATCTATACATGTGTGTTTCTTCAAAATATTTTTTTGATAGCTAACATTAAATATTTTATCAATAGAGATAAAAAATGCTATTTACAATGGTATGAGGTATCTATAATTAGGTTAGCCTTGCTACCTAACCCCATTTTATTGCTCCTTGCCCATAAAATGACTTTATTCTTTCTTAATTTGTTCTCTGCGGTTCTGGCTTAAAATTGTTTATTCCTAGCATATGTTTACTTTTTTGGTAGCTGAATACTTGAAATCTCTGTTGTCTTACAGTGGCAAAACTATTGAGCTTGATGATGTTACTTTCCACCAATGTGTAAACCTGACAAGGTTCAACTCAGAGAAAACGGTCAGCTTTGTTCCGCCTGATGGTGAATTTGAACTGATGAAGTAAGTTAACTGTTTTCTTTTCTTTATTTATTTTTTCCTTAGAAGGAACTTAAATCTTCTTTAGCTTTGATTCATTTAGCATGGATTTTGTGTGCTACAGTCAGGCAATAGCAGAAACCTTTTTTTTTTTTTGCTGCTACCTGGGTAACATGTGGACTGTGTATCTAAATGGATTTTGGTTCAATCTATGGATGGGCTTTCTATTGCCAGTCTGTGATCTAAACCATGATGTTTTGTAAATTTCATCTGTTTCTAAATACTTCTATATTATCACTTTTGGACATTGCAGTTTTTAAGTGCCTGCAAATCCTTTTGGTCCCATTTGTTTTAAATTTTAATAAAATTATTTCTGAAAAAAAAGGTATATTCATGTCCAACTGAATCCCACTTTTTGTGGTCTTGTACATACAGTTTTCATGTCTTCATATGTATTTCCTGTTGCATGATCCATAGTCTTGTTCCATGAGATCATTTGGCATGTGCCACCATATCCAATCTTCTTTTTTTTTTTTTTAATTTCTTTTGCATTGTGTAATGGTTTGTACTTACTGATGTGTGGATTAACATGAGCTTCCAACATTTCCTATTTAATGATAGTATTTGGTTTGTTTAGATATCGTATTACTGAGGGTGTAAATCTTCCATTTCGGGTATTGCCAACAATCAAGGAATTGGGTAGGACACGCATGGAAGTAAATGTGAAGGTTTGTAGTTACATTTCAAAAGATGAATATATCATGTTGTCGTGATTTTGGACTTATTTTACTGTTAACCTTCAGGTGAAGAGTGTGTTTGGTGCAAAAATGTTTGCCCTTGGAGTTGTGATCAAGATTCCAGTGCCAAAGCAAACTGCAAAGACGAGTTTTCAAGTGACATCTGGTCGAGCTAAGTACAATGCTTCTATTGATTGCTTGGTTTGGAAGTGAGTATATGATATGCTTAGGACTCAATCATTGCTTGTATTAGACATATTTAATGCTTCTATGCATACATAAATTATTTTATTTTAATCCTCTTCGATATAAGCATTTAAGTTTTCATGCAACTCATCTCTTTCTAGGCATTTAGATAAATTACTGAAGAAGAAAGAAACAAGTAGAAGATACAAGAAGAAAGCCAGACTTCCGAAACCAGAATTGCCAGACCAACAAAACATGAACTACAACACAGCCAGAGACCAAAATTACACTAGGCACCCACTGCAACTAGTCCAGAACCAGGATTGTCAACCCCCCATATAATTCACTCCTTAAATTACATATGGGACCTCCTGAATATCTACACCAGTAAAATATCCTTATGCCATCTGAATGCACCATTTATACCTGATAGTTCCACTTTCCCTAGAGAGCAGCCATCATAGTTCAGATTGATCACTTTATGAGCAAGATGGGACCAAGATGAGGTTGGGAAACAATGGATTTGATAGTCAAAGATGGGGAAGTATCCTCTAATGCTTTCATCTGTAGAGAAACCTCTAAAATTCAATCTTGTGCAGTCCATTTTATTAGTGCTACTGATTTTCCCTAAGGCTGTTTGGTAAGAGTGCAAACGCTGAATCAAAGCGAATTTGCACTGTGGTTCAGTTTTGCAGGCATTTGGTAGAATACATTTTTGTACTGAAAATGACAGTAAATTAATTTTTCTGATATGTTTTCATTCAAAGTGGAAGCAAATTTTTGCACACAAAGTTGGTCATAAAAAAAGGTAGATTCTAGTCTTGGAATTCGTGTTTGTACCAATCACAACCAAATACGCTTGGTAAGAACTAAGAACACAAAATTTATCAAAGCAAAACCAACCCAAGTTTGCATTTTCATGAACGTATATTTGCATTTGCTCTCTTACCAAACACAGCCTAAGATGCAGCTTCAACCTGAGTATCCTGTTATTTTCCTCATTTGAATTCCCTAAAATATTAAAGTAAATAAAAGCTCATCAATAAAACATATTCTTCTTTTGATCAAGGTTTTCTTTTTGTAAGGAATATATAGGTTTGTTGTTGACTTTGTGCTGCTTGTAATTGGGTCTGTTCAGTCTTCCCTTGTACAGGGGATATCATTATATCTTGTTTTGCTATTAATGAAGTCCTTTACCCTATAGTTCAAGAAAAAAAAATCTTACACAAATGAACCCAAAGCGTGATCTCTTATCAACTCCACCAGCTTTGCAAGGAATACTGAAGAATCATGAGGTTGAGGAGCTGTTGTTAAGAAGTATCTTTTTATCAAATTTGTTATAAATTATTTTACTGCTAGTAGTATAGAATTTTTTTTTTTTTCAACACAAGTTTGTTGGGAACTTCACATCTTGGAAAGGATTGCTTAGTATTAACATGTATTTGCACCTGTACAGTTTTACCTCTGCTCTTGTCATGTAGGCTGTAGCATGTTGCATTTTAGTTAATTGTTCGTTTCTGTATTTATTTTCTCCTTGGAATTTCTTGAATACTTTGTAGGATAAGAAAATTCCCTGGACAAACAGAACCAACAATGAGTGCTGAGGTTGAGCTAATTTCCACTATGGCAGAGAAGAAGTCTTGGACCAGGCCTCCAATCCAAATGGAATTCCAGGTGTCAATCTATTATTTGTCTTTTCTCTGTTATGTACCATAAGAATTTATCTGTCACCATCTTATAGTTTGTTACCAGGTATTACACCATCAGATTTTAGAGAAAATTTATAGCTGATCTGTTAATTTCAAATACAATATAAGAATCAGTGAAAGGACAGGTTGCCACCTCTGCACATAGTTGTAAATCACACCTGCACTAATTCTGAAAACAAACCAAAAGAAAGGAGAAGAGAAGAAAGGGAAGAAAGTGAAACAAAAGAGCTTAACGATCCTCTCTTCAGTCCCCTAATAGCTTTTATTAATCTGATTGTAATAATTCAGATACAATTACCCGAGTGCCCTCAATAGGGCAGCTACTTAATAGACTATAAAATGGAAGAAAAACTGCTACAATAAACTAAAACCCGCTAATTGAAACATAACACACTAATAACAGGACCAATAAAATAAAAAGTCTAAGGCCCATTTGGCCCATCATCTCTACCTTTTCTACTTCGAATCTATACTTTGATCTTTATTGAAACCTATGAAATTACTTTTAGAAAAAAGTGATCTTATTTTGTAATCTTCTCTTTTATTTTAACAAAAAACAATAACATTTTTTGATCAGCAACACAATCAGAAAAGATTTTTTTTGGGTATCTTTTGAAGGGCTACACAACGGGGGGGTAGCCCATCCCCCAACCCAGGTGCAGGCGGGATTCAATCCCAAGACTCCACTATGACCAGCAGGAGACCTTACCAACCAGGATACGATCACAATGAGAAAAGGTTTGATTTAGACCGGGCAAAAAGTTGACCCAACCTGCAAACCCGACCCAACCCAACCCGAAAAAATAGGGTTAGGGTCTCATATTTAGCTACCTGAATGTGAGAATGACCCGACCCGGAAAAAACTGGGTTGGGTTGGGTTGAGTCATGGGTCAACCCGCTGACCCGATTGTCAAGTCTAATTGGGATTATTTATACATTGTTAGAAGTTTTCACTCTTTAATTTTTTCTATTTAGTCTTTACTCTTTATTGTTTACTCTTTAAATTGTTAAATGTTCAAGCTTTTTATTTTATATTTGGAATTTTAAGGTTAATTCCTTTAATTTTGACATTTTTCATGTAGTTTTTCTTTATTTTTTTAAATTTCAGTTATTTTTTGTGATAACTCGAATTGACCCATGGGTCAACCCTAACCCGAACATTTAGGGTTAGGGTCTAGCATTTGATAACCCAACCCGAAATTAAACCCGACCCAAAATGTGTTGACCCAACCCGAACCCGACCCACCCAACCCAATTGCCAGGTCTAGTTTGATTAAAGAAGAAAGAGAGCAAACACAAGAAGTTGTGAAAAATACAGTCCA